TGTGAGATAATTGAGGGGATTCGTGAATCCTGTGCCCAGTCTCCTTGGCACTAGCAAAATTTGTGTCAAGCCACACCCTTGGCCTTTTCTCCAGAGCACACCTTCCTAACAGTGAATCTCCTCATTTTAGCAATTTGGGTAGCCTGGGAGTTTCTCAAACCACCAAGTCCAGGTTCCATTTTGCTTGATAGTTCTTCCCTCAGTTTCTGTCTCTTCTCGCATTTTACTCTGAGCAGCAAGAAGAAAGCAGGCCAGACCTTCAACATTTTGCTTGGAAGTCTTCTCAGCCGAATATCCAAATTTGTTGCTTACAAGTTCTGCCTTCCCCACAAGTAGGATACAGCTAAACTTCCTGTCACTAGCTAACAAGGATTCTCTGTTTCTCATTTCCTCTGAGCCCTCCCCAGAAACATCTTTCACATTCATCTACCAACATACTATTTTTGATGATAACGTGTCTTCTCCAAGATGATACAGAGCTTTCTCTGCCAGGTTCCTCACTTCCTTGTGAATCCTAAGTGGCAGAGTCATTGGCGTGCGTGTTTGCCTGACTCACTCTTTTTTACCCCATATTTCTTATAAACGGAGTATTAGATGGAAAGAGCCCAGGGTGCAGTGATTTCATTAGCAAGAATATGTCCGAGGTGGTGCCATGTATTTGTATTTCCCCACGAGACGACAGCTGGTCAGGAGTTCAGAGAGTGACAGCCTGACTCTTCTCCTAAAAGTTCCCTATCCACTTATCACCTCATGTTCCACCATTTAATTGGGTATTGCAAAGTGGTAATTGTCCTTAATTCTGGCTTTCCTTACACATTTATTACAAGGAATTTTGCTGCAAAGAAGGGTTTTCTTTCATCAACCAGGGATCCTTGGTTGCTTGAAACACAGCCAATTCTGAACCCCTCAGGGATGCTTTCTAGTCCATTGTCCCTTTGTAACCCAAGGACTTGCTACCCTTGGTTTCCCCCCCACCCTGCCAGGGGAGGTGATCAATAGGGCTTGGGAATGAGAATGAGGGTAGATTCTCTTCCTGTGACTATTAGGAACTTGGGGCTGTGCATTTCGTGTATTTCAGTCCATTGCAGTGGTTCATTTTGATGCTTCTGTGTTCCCTTCCTCATGGAGGGGCAGCCCCCAAGCTCCCTCCTGTCCCTCTTAGGGCCCCTTATCATGACTTCTTTCATCTTTTGCAGCTTACTTGCGTCTTGGTCCTGGAATGGGCCGTTCCTCTATGGAGCCCTGGTTCCTTTTTGAGGCTGAAATGGTATTTAGAGCATGCCGTGTGGGCACTGGTGCTGATGGCTTCTGCACCTATTTGCGAAGAGAGCTAAGAAGTAATATATTTTTGTGATAACAGCGACAACCTCAAAAACCCCGTAATTTCACACTGATATTTCCCATTCCAGTTTAACCTTACAGGGTTTTACTTTCGTTTTAAACATGTATCTTTTCTCTTAATGTGAATATCTTGGCTTCTAATATTAGCATAATTACTTGCTTTACTCTAAAATACTTTTGGGGGCGCCTGGCTGGTTCAGTCGGAGGAGCATGCAACTCTTGATCTCGGGGTTGTGAGTTCGAGCCCCATGTTTGGGGTGTAGAGATTACTAAAAAAGTTTTAAAACTTCAAGATAAAATAAAATACCTTTGGAATAAACAGACTAATATTACCACTAATATTGGTAACATAATAACAAAATGTGGAATGAAGTTTAAGATTTCTTTGCAGCTCTGTTTGCCCTTAAAATGTATCCCTTACACTAAGGACATGCAGTTTTTTGTTTTGTTTGCTTTTTCTTTTTTAAAATGAGCTCTCAAAGGGTTCTTTTCACTGTATGATTTTGACACCATCTTGATAGTTAACTCATATGTTTCAGTTTATTTTGAATTTTTAGGAATTGTACTTTTTCTTTTGGTTCGGTATTATCTTCAATTTGATTTTTTTTTTTTTTAATGTACATGCTTCCAATGTGAAAACCATATAACAAGGTGTGAAGTCTCATTTCCAGCCCAATCCCTGATACCTCTGGGAGTAACTGTTAATCTTCGATTTTGGTTTATCCTTCTAACATTTCTTTTTGCAGATACAAGCATACGTATGTATTCAGATTCCCCATGTCTTATACAAAAGGTAGTGTATAGCGTGTAGTGTGTGGTGTCTAGAATTTTATATGGAGCCTGTGTGTGTCCCTGCTCCTGCTGCTCCCTCCATATCCCTGTTGGGGAGACATCTTTTACCCTTGTTGTTTGGGCCTTCATGCTAGACTTGCATGGGTCAAGCTGGGGTTTGAACTGTATAAAGCTTTTCTCCCCACATTTCTATCTTCTCATTGGCAAACCGGACACCACGCACCTGCCTCAGTAGGTGGTTGGAAGAATTAAAAGCATTGATATATGTAAAGGTTTAGAGCTGTGCCTGGCACCACGTAAATGCCAGGGTATTAGCTGTTACTGCCTTGGTCTGGTAATACCCAACCTCACGTGCAGCCCTGACACTTAGATTTTTGATGTTGAGTGGGACAGATCATAAAGACTGAGCGAATGCAAGGGACCTCACACGCTCTTCAGCCCTTTCTCTGTAACAGTCCTGGAGAGGTGGGGTGCTTTGGAGCAGAAGGGAGTAGTAGAATCTGAGAATTCTCACGCCGGGGAAGGTCAGTCAGCACCTATGACTTAGGAGCCATGGGAGTAAAATAGCCCACCCTGGGGGACGTGAGCGGTGCAGTCTCAGACCCCAGGGTCTACTGAGGGAGGAACACTGGCAGCAGATGTGCAGCGCTCCACTCCTAGTGGTTCCTGGGTGGCCTGGCTTTGCGAGAAATTTGGAGATGTATTTAACCTGCAAGAAAATCTCTTGGCAGCCGTGTGACTGCTTTCTGTGCCCATGTCTACTGTCAGGTGGCCAGATCTGCGCCCCAGGCCTTCTCGGGCTGGTCTAGTCTGGTCCCCAGAGCCTCCACTCTACTCACTTGGCAGTGGGGTGGCCTTAGCCAGGAGCAGACCACTCTGGCCATCCAGCTCTGGGCCAGGGACTGCAGTAGGGCTTTGAGTACCCAATCCTGGTTCTGTATTCAAGGCTTTGGGGACATGCTCCTGAGCCCCATTTTTATTGTATCTTGTGTCTGAGTAAAGTATCTAGTTGCCTTTTCAACCTGCTTCCTCATTTTATCTTTTCTTTTTTAATACTTATTTTTGAGAGAAAGAGTGAGAGTGCATACAGGTGGGGGAAGGGCGGGGAGAGAGGGGAGACAGGATCTGAAGTGGGCTCTGTGTGGGCAGCTTCAGCACTGACGGCAACGAGCCCAATGCAGGACTCGAACTCACAAACTGCGAGACCGTGACCAGAGCCAAAGTTGGACATTCAGCCGATTGAGCCACACAGTCACCCTTCGTTTTATCTTTTATGGAAATAGAGAAAACTCAGCAAGTTCTTTTAAGGTATCCCCAATTTAACAGATGGCCCAAGGCCCTAAAAAGATGTCAGACATTGACCTGGCAACCTCCCAATTTTTGTCCCCTTGTACTTGGCCGCCTTACTTCCTGAGCTTCCTTCGGGCCTGCCACCTCCTTGCTCCCTGCTCACCACACTGCTGTCCTTCAAGGACCGGGTGATCCATAGGCAGGAGTTCCCGGCTCTACCCTTTACCCTCAGCATATTGTCTTTCCTACTGGAAATTGGTGGGAGTTGGAAATTGGGAATGTTGACAACACCCGCTAAATGTCCCTATGCTCCAGGAGAGGCTCACTGTCCCTCTCTTTGTACCTGCCCCCCTTTGCACGTTCTTATCCCAACTTTGCCTTTCCCCCAGGCCTTTTCCCCTCATGTTTGCCTCTGCTGATTCCCCTGGCCAAAAAAGAGTGGTGGGGTGAAGTTTGGGGGTGAGTTGAGGAGTAATGAAGATTTAGAAAGTGTGCTTATATTTTTTCATTCACCTGAGACCACTTTGCCCCAAAGGTGTTCTTAAGACAGTGGGTTTACTCTTGTGCCTGAGTTCACTGGCATGTGTTCCCAGGGTAGTACCTCCACAATGTGCTGCGCGCAGCTGGGTTCCGGGTTGTGTGGGTGTCATCCCATCAGCCTGCTGTCTAGTGGCCTCTCTGTGTCACAGTGACTTAGGAGGGTCGTGTAAGCAGGATGGAGAATGAAGGCTTTGCCTTATTGGGGCTGCCTTGCCAGAGGAACGGGCATTTCAAGGTGGGGAAGGATGGTACAGCTTCGCTGAAATAAGAATTTAACTCAGACATTCCTTTGTTGACCACAGGACAAACTCACAGTAGTGATTTCCCCAAAACACCTGGGAGCGAGTGTCCTTAGTCGCAAAGAGGTCAATCAGTAGAAGGCAGGCTCTGCTGTGCAGTTCCAGAAACCCGGCAGCTGGGAAAAAGCGGGCCCTCGGCAGTGGCCTTCACCTGCCACCCTTGAGTGGCACTGTGCCTTCTCCCTTGCCTGTGCAGTAAATTCAGATTAACACAGCTTCTCTGAAAAGTGCAGCCAGGGGCGCACAGCCAGATTTGCATGCAAGCACGTCAACAGTGAAAGAGCAACAGGCCGGGTATTAAAAGCGAAAGTACTTGGATACAAATAGTGCAAAGACAAAAGCGGCCTGCCTATGTGGACTGCTGATGTGCCTTGTGACCTCAAGCTGGCCCCTCATCCCCTCTGGACTTGCCGTCCCCCCTGTGAGAGGAGGGGCGCCTAAGCTGGCTGGCCATCCTCTCCGTTGAGCCTTTGCAGCAGAGTGGAAGGAGCAGTGGTTTGACGCCTCTCGGTATCCCTCTTGGCTTTTTCTTTGTGCTTTTTGTTGGCCTGCCATAGCTGAGCATTGTCAGCTCTTCTCTGAGAGATGGATTCCAGAGGAGGCCGAGCCAGGCGAGCCGGCAGCCTTTCAGGAAGAACTCTCAACTCAGTGACACAGCAGTGCAGGGGGTGGGAAGGGGCGTCACATGACTTCACTTCTTCACCTGGGATTAAACTGCTTCCTGTTTTTTGCTTTTAGGACGAATACCTTTCTCTCGTGGCCAGGCTTATTATCCATTTTCGAGACATTCGTAAGTAAAATTTTACATTTCTGGGTGGTTTTGATTGCCAGGAGAGGCTGGCCCTTTCCTGGGGTGGTGGGGGCTTTCTTGGCCGCAGTGCCTGAGGCAGAATGCCTGTGTAAAAAGCTCCTGCTTTCTGGGAAGTTCGACATTGCTTTGCATTTGATTCCGTCTCCCATCCTCTTCAGAGCTTCAACCTCAAAAATGCTGATTTTGGCGTAATGGAAATGTTAGCCTCCAAGTGGTCTGGACTGCTATTTTTGCTTGTCCATTTAATCTTCTTTTTCAAAAGACTGTGGCTTTTGTCTCTAGGCAGTTCTTAAAGAAGCCAGGTTTACCCTGGAAAAGAAACTTCCTTCCCTAGGAGTTGGCTTTATTGGCCCATGGGGGTCTGACCCAAATGTGTGTTCCTGTCAGGCTGGAACTTCATAAGTCTTGCCTCTGGCTCCCTGCCCTGGTGAGGGTCACCTGGTGCCTGCTGCCTTCCACCCACTCTGCTTCCCTGGGTCCTGCTAGGGTCCTGTCAGCCCAGCCTGGCATCAGCCATGGCTCTTTAAAAGTGTGTGTCCTTGCAGACTGGGCTCAGGGGTCTTGGTGGTCTTTTGTGTGTTATGCTTAAGCATGGAGGACAGTTACTGTTCCTGGATGGTCACCGTATCTAAAGTCTCTAAAGGAAACCAGGCTGGTTCAGTGCTCTGAGGTTTCAGCCAGCAGCGCCTCCTACCTGCCTGCAGTTGTGTGACCACAGGAGATGGGCTCCTCTTGACACAGCTTGTCTTTGCAGCACACAGTTGGCGCGTCTAGTGGCTTCTCTTCGTGCTTGTAGAGGTGGCTATGGTGTTAGTAATCTCAGAAAAAAGGAGATGTTGTGAACCCCAGAGCCCCTGTGTGGCCCATAGATTTTGCTTCTTTCCACACTTTTTCCCAGAATGGCCGGCCAGATGAACTTCACTTGATTCCACTTTCTTTGCTGTGTTTGGGAAGGCCCTATGTTGTTTAGAACGAGCTGTTGGAACCAGAAGCCTGGGGAATGAGCAGTCTGGATGAGATGCCTTGGTCTGTCCTGGCAAGCGGCTCTGCTTGTCGGGACTGGGCTGGCCTGGCCTGTTTGGGAGGCAGCCTGGCGTAGCAGCACACAGCCCTGGGGCCAGGCGTGTCCCTGGCCCACTCGCCGGCTCCTGCCTCACCCAGAGAGGGTAGCCCTGTTGCAGTGCTTGCCCCCTGGTGCTAGGGCCAGCTAGGTGGGGCTTTTAGCCAGCCTTGGCCAGACACAGTTTCCTCATAGTAGAAAGTGGAGATGCTGCCTCCTCATCAGGGCAGGCTGAAAAAGGAGGTGTTGTGGAGGTCTGGTCACCATTCTGGGCCCATTGTGGATCCCTACAGTTCTTGTGTTTGTTGTTCAGGGCCCCAGCTGAGACCCTGATCCCGGGAAGGATGGAGGGCCAGAGTAGGCCCAGGGCAAGCTTCTACTGGGGGCGGGGGGGAGGGTGGAGGACAGTTCTCTGAGGCCCCAGGTTGACCATGGGCAGTTCTGTACCTTCTTCCCTCAGACCCCCTTGAGTGTCAGCTCTGCCTGGAGTGGATACAGACATGCACACACAAACACACATGTGCTCTGAGGTATCTTATCTTCTGTTTAGTTTCAGCAAATGACCTCTGGGCAAATGCCTACAAAGCTGGCTTACTGTGGAAATATGTGGTTATATAAAATTTTGTTTACTTTGTTTTTTGTTTTTGTTTTCTTAAATACAGATAACAAAAAATCTCAAGCTTCCGTCAGTGGTAAGAGTTTTTTTTTGTTTGAATTAAAGTTTTATCCCAACCTTGGGTTTGGGGGAGCAAGAATGCAGTTGTGGATGCTGCGTGGGTCTGGGTTAAGCTGTTATGAGAGGAGAAAATTCACAGAAAGAACTCTGGCTGGCCGTGAGAACTTTGAGCCACGCCCGCCCCTCCTCCATGCTTCCTCTTCCTGGCAGACTGCAGTCAGATGAGACCTCCCCATCCCATGTCACTCAAATACTGTTTTTGTCCAGCAAAAAGATGTTTAAAAACTCACACAATAATGGACACATTATCTAAAATGTTGAGCTCTCTGGAAGAAAACTATTATGGTATATCTAGTATAATAATCGGTAGTATATTTTTTAGAGAATAGCTATGAATTCACTTCCTTAAGTTACAAAGTTTCATGGGAACTGTATTGCTTCAGCCCTGGTCTTGCTGACTGAGCTGCCAGTGAAGGGGTTTAGCGAATCCATGATGGCCGACGGAGCTCTGATCTGTCACAAAGGGAGCCAGCCTGGCATGCTATTTGTCTTACTGCAGGCAGTACAGCTGTAAATGCTGGGTGCCCATGCTTGCCTCAGCCAAGCTGGCTGCACCTGTCTGTGTGGGCCCTGTTTCCCTGCTAGGCTACCCCTCCTGGCATGTGCAGTGATTCTCAGCCACCCAGGGCTAGATGGGATGAAGACCCACAGGCCACAGGCCAGGAGAATGTCTAAGTTCTTGGCATCAGAGTATAGGGTTCTTTAGCATTCAGTTCTGCGCAGGCTGACCTGGCTGGGGCATACCTGTCTGTAGGTAGTTGTTTGCTGTGAGTCTATATTGTTCTGACAAGAGCCCTGGGCTCCTTGTTCCAGGTCATAGCATTGCTCACTGAGCTGAGTCCCCTGCCTACTGGCAAGCATCACTGTGCCTGGTGGCACTCTGTGGATTCTTCCTGCACACCTCCCTCACACCTTAGCTTGTTTTAGTGTGGTGTCCTGAGAACTCCTTAGTGGGGTTTCTGCACAGACTTAGTAGAGGTGGGCTTCTGGTGTGCAAGAAGACTTGTAATCTCCCTGGGAGAACATCTGTCTGTGCCCCCCTCAGTTCTCTGGCCCCCAGGCTCGCTCTTACTGTGAAGAAGGGCCTGCTGTCCTTTGCTGTCTTTGGAGTTCCCAGCTGTGTCTCACCCAGCGTAGGGGTATACAGCCAGGAGGGGTGGGGACTGCTATATACCTTAAGGGGCTTGTTTATGCCTCAACGATAGGACCCTGGCACAAGCCAGGCTAGGGTTTGAGATGTGCTCCCTGTTCAAGAGCAGTGACAGAGATACTGACATTTTGGCCCCTCCGCGGTTGGAGGCCTAGAGGCTCCCAGGACTCTGGCCTTTCACTGCTTGGGCCTTTGAGGGAGTTGTGCCTGGAGGTGGGAGGAAGTGTGTGCTCTGTGAGGCCTCATAACCTTCGGAGACTTGCGTTTCAGCAGGCACTTGGCTGAGACGCTGTGCCCTTCTGTTCCCACAGACCCTATGAATGCACTACAGAGCCTGACTGGTGGGCCTGCTGCGGGAGCAGCTGGAATCGGCATGCCTTCTCGGGGCCCAGGACAATCCCTGGGCGGGATGGGTGGCCTTGGCACCATGGGGCAGCCGATGCCCCTCTCAGGGCAGCCGCCCCCTGGCACCTCGGGGATGGCCCCCCACGGCATGGCTGTTGTGTCTACAGCAGCTCCACAGAGTGAGTACTGTGCTTCTCAGAGAATCTGCCACCTTCTTTGCAGGCGATGTACATTTTTATCCCTTTGCTTAGGATGGTATTGAGGAAAGAGTGGAGAAACTCCCCAAGTAGCTGTCTTTTTATCTTTGTTGTGTATGGAGAGAAAAAGTTCCAAAACTTTTTCAGACTATCAAAAGGGTTAAGTGACACTGAGGCCCTCCTCCTACCCCTGGGCAGGAGTGGAGGACTCAGAAGAGGTCGGGGTGGTCTGGGACTCCATCCGGGGGGATTGTGTTTTGTAGCTGAAATAGACACAGTTATGTCTCAGGCTGTTCTCAGCCACAAAGTGGTGCTTTCGGCACCCCACAACCCCCAGAAGACCTCCATCTCAAGAGCCATCCCTTCCAGTGTTGCCCTTGCCCTCCTTCCCTGAAGGATGTGCCTTGCCCTCCTGGCGCTTCTCTACAGAACACAGCCCCTTGTCCCCTCCATGCAGCTACTCCAGCTGGGAATGGGTGCGTAGCACGGGTCTCCCTCCTCTTTCCAGGGCCTGTCTTGTTGGACGTTTGATTTTCATAACCAGTAATTCAGTATGCAGAGTGTACTTCAGTACTGCAAAGTGCTTTGTTAATTTTTTCCTTTTTTATTTTTGAAATAGTCTAAGAATCATAGGAAGTTGCAGAATGACACAGAGAGTGCCTGTGTGCCCTTCACCCAGCTTCCCCAATGCTGACATCTTAGTACATTGTCAAAACCGAGAAATGAATCTTGGGACAATGCTGCTAACTCAGGTGGCCTTTTTTCTGACATCTCCAGTTTTTACATGCATTCTTGCCCGCGAGCTTATGTGCGTGTAGTTCTATGAGACTTTATCATGACTACCAGGGTCAGCATGCAAGGCTGTTCCATCACCAGTAGCAAGCTGTTGTGTTATCTCTTAATAATCACACCCTTCCTCCAACTTCAAGCCCTGGCAACCGCTGATCTGTTCCCTATCTCTATAGTTATGTCACTTCGCAAGTGTTACATCGATGGAATCGCACAATGTTTGACATTTTGAGACTGACTTTTTTCCCCTCAGCATAATGCCTTTGAGATTCTCCCAAGTTGCCTCAGTAAGTCGTTCCTGTTCATTGCTGAATTGTATTCCATGGACTGGGTGTACCACGGGTTGCTTATCCATTCACCCTTGAAGGGTGTTCAGGTTGTTTCCAGGTTTGGCTGTTGCAAATAAAGCTTCTGTGACCCTGATTCATGTACAGGTTGTGATGTGTCGATGTATTTTTCTCATGCATCACTCATAGTAACCCTCAAAGAAGGCAGTGTCCCTGCTTCTGCTTTGCCCACTAGAGCTGGGGTCGAGCCCAGGCTGCCTGACCCGAGCACCCCCATTCTTTGTTCAAGTTTCCTGTACGAGCATCACTTTGCTCTTCACAGATGCCACGTGGAGGCTCATTCTGCCCACTCTTGGACTGGAACCTTCCATCCCCAGACATCCCCTTCTTTCTTGGATCATTGTTCTGTTCCCCTTATTGACACCTTGCCATCTGACTCTTAGCTCTTTGCTTGATTCTTCTTCTCCAGCTTCCGTGTCCCCTCTTGTCTTGTCAGCATACCTGGTACGTACATGGGGCGGCTTATGGAAGGATTCTCAGGAGAAGTACTGGTTCTGACTCCTTTTTATGTTACAGAGTGGTTGATTTCTTTTTATCACAGCTTACATTTTATAATAAAAAATCATTTTTAAAGTGTAGGAGTTTAGAATGCTACCAGTATTTGCCTTGCAGTTTCACTCCTAAGACTTTGTCAGTTCACTGGCAAAGTTTGGGTATCCTGCCCACACCCTCCCCAGTCTGACCTTGGCCCACATCCTGTTTTCAGCTTCAGAGGGACCTGGTCTTTCATGTGGGTTGATGTGATGTGAGTTCTCTACTTTCATGCCCTGCTGCTGCCTGTCAGCATCCCTCTCTCTCTGCCTTGGACCTCTTGTCTGCCTGGTCTACGCGAAATAGGTGTTGTGGCCCAATGGACATTTGTTAATTCCTTTCTCACAGTTTCTCCAAATGGCACTGTGTGGTTAAGGCAGCTTCAGGACAGGGCCTGGGTCAGAGATTTTGCAAGGATTCTCAAAGGATAGTCCAGAACACGCTGTGATAGTCTCCACGTGACCTGAATTAGTCATGGAAACAAACTGCTGACTGTAGGTGAGGCTGGGGGCTTGAGTACAGCATTAGAAGGGAGACAGACTTTTCACTCTGTACATTTTTGTTCCTCAGTGAATTTTATATCATATACCTGTAAAACCAGCTTTAAAAATGAGTCCTATTTCTGTCTGTTTGACAGACTGGATGCTGAGGAACCCTCGTCCTTCTAGACAACTAGATCCTAGATGCATTTTGGATTGTTGGGCCAGCAGAAGGTAGGGGAAGTTCTTTGCCCAGCCATGTCTTGGCCCACTGCAAGATTGGGGAAAGCAAGCCTCGCATCCCTCTGAGTAGTGGGATTTGTGCCAGAGCCCTTGGCATCCCTAGTTCCCCCAGGAGCAAGGGCAGATTGGAGAATGCTCCCAGTTTAGGCCTGTGGCAATTGCAGATCAAGCATTGAGCACCACAAATAAAGACCAGCAAGCCTGAAAGGAAGAAGAGATACTATGAGGAGGAACAGAAACAATAAACAGATGTGGAGATGCTCAGGGACCACACACATAATAATTGTTAACTATGGGCTTGGCCTGATTAAAGAAATAAAGGATGGAATTCCAACTGAACAAGCACTGGGATACCTGGTGGAGTGATGAGGCAGCTTTGAAAAGGAACCAAGTAGGGGTGCCTGGGTGGCTCAGTCGGTTAAGTGTCTGACTTGGGCTCAGGTCATGATTTTGTGGCTTGTGAGTTTGAGCCCCGGGTTGGGCTCTGTGCTGGCAGCTCAGAGCCTGGAGCCTGCTTTGGATTCGGTGTCTCCCTCTCTCTTCCTCTTCCCCGGCACACACACATACTCTCTCTCTCAAAAATAAATAAACATTAAAAAAATTTTTGAAAAGGAACCAAGTAGAACTTGTAGAAACAAAAGTAAAATTATTGAGGGGCGCCTGGGTGGCTCAGTTGGTTAGGCGCCTGACTTAGGCCCAGGTCATGATCTCGTGGTTCGTGAGTTCAAGCCCTGCATTGGAACCTGCTTCGGATTCTGTGTTTCCCTCTCTCTCTGCTCCTCCCCCACTCGCTCTCTGTATCTCTCTTTCTCTCTCAAAAATAAAAACATTTTAAAAATTAAAAAATGAAATTATTGAAATGAGAAGGTAGAGATGAATGAATAGCAGATTTTTTTTGAAGTTTGTGTGTGTGTATGTATGTATGTATTTATTTTGAGAGAGAGAGAGAGAGAGAGGGAGAGAGGGAGTGCACACATGTGCAGGGGAGGGACACAAAGAGAGAATCCCAAGCAGGCTCTGTTTTGTGTGGGGCTTGATCCCACGAACTGAACCATGAGATCATGACCTGAGCTGAAATCAAGAGTCAGATGCTTAACAGACTGAGCCACCCAGGTGCTCCTGAGCAGCAGATTAGATACAATTGAAGAAAGAATTTGTGAACTAGAGACAACATTTGAAGAAATTACCTAGAATATAGCCCAGAGAAGAGGAAATAAAAAATAGGAGGGTAATGGGGCGTCTGGGTGGCTCAGTTGGTTGAGTGTCTAACTTAAGCTCAACCCATGATCTCACAGTTCATAAGTTCGAGCCCCACATCAGGCTCACTGCTGTCAATGCAGAGGTTGCTTTGGGTCCTCTGTGCCCCCCCTCTGCCCTTCCCCCCACTCACATGTACTTTCTCTCTCTCTCTCTCTCTCAAAAATGGATAAGCATTTATTTAAATAAAAAAAAGAGGGGCGCCTGGGTGGCGCAGTCGGTTAAGCGTCCGACTTCAGCTCAGGTCACGATCTCATGGTCTGTGAGTTTGAGCCCCGCGTCGGGCTCTGGGCTGATGGCTCTGAGCCTGGAGCCTGTTTCCGATTCTGTGTCTCCCTCTCTCTCTGCCCCTCCCCCGTTCATGCGCTGTCTCTCTCTGTCTCAAAAATAAATAAACGTTAAAAAAAAAAAAAAGAAAAAAATAGGACGGTGTGGGGCACCTGGGTTCCTCAGTCGGTTGAGTGCCTGACTTCAGCCACTTCAGATCCTCTGTCTCCTCTCTCTTTCTATCTTAAAAATAAATAAACATTTAAAAAGTACTAAGAAAATAGGAGGGTAAGAAATGCAGAGGATAAAATCAGAGTTTAACAACTAATAAAAGGACCAGATGGAGAGAGAACAGAAGCCAACCAGTATATGAGGAGAGATGGTAGCTGGAAAAGTCCTGCAGTCCTATGCAGGTTAAATAAGGCATCCATGCCTTAGCCTGCTTGGGGAAAGCCACGAACACCATAGGCCAGAAGAGTATGTTAGAAATAGCCAGTTTCTAGAAAGGAGCAAGACGTAGACTCAGAGCACTTGGTGATGGTGTCATGAAGAAAGTAGGAAGTTGTTAGAGCCCTGGGGATAGAGCTGCTGACCACAGTTGTATGCCAGCAAAACTCCCAATGACTGGGGGGGAAGCAGGCATTTTAGATAAACAAAGCTCAAGAGACCTTCACTGAAAGGTTTTTTATTTGTTCACCATTTCCTCTTAACTCTCATACCATCTTTCTTGTGATGCCAGGTGTAAAATGGGAGAACAGACTTTTTTTTCATATAAGGTAGCAAGCGTGTGTGAATCTAAACCAGTGATTCTCATCCGTTTTGTACCCTGGAGGCTATTTGGCAATGTTTGGAGACATTTTGGATGTCACAACTGCGGGCGCACTCCTACCATGTAGCCTAAAGGCTACAAATGCTGTTAAACCTCTCGTGCGGAGGACAGCCCCCCACAACATAGAATTGCCTATCCCAAAATGTTGGGAGGAACAAGGTTGAGAATCCTTGGTGTAAACAAAAATCACCTGTCTAAAATAATAATGCTTCCAGCTAACTCCATACAGACTTGCTGCATTCCAAGCACTGTTTTGAGGGTTTTACCTAGAACAGATTTTTAATTCTTCATTCAGTGTAGGTACTATTATTGTCTCTTTTCCACAGCTAAGGAAACTGAGGCACAGAGCAGTGACAGAGTTGGTATTTGAGTCCAGGCAGTCCGGCTCAGAGGCTGTACCTCTAGTCATTATTCTGGCCTGCCTCCCCCTGCCCCCCTTTTTTAAAGTAGGCTTCACGTCCAGCATGGAGCCCAACACAGGGTTTAAACTCACAACCCTAAGATCAAGATCTGAGCTGAGATCCAGAGTCAAATGTTTAACTGACTAAGCCACCCAGGCACCCCTGTTCTGCTTCTTAATAGAAGTGTGCTGTGTGGGTGTAAAAAGATAAACAAGGACCATACTAAATGGAAGTCAGGAGGTGTATTGAGGATAAATACCAGGTCTATCAGTACCTGTGAAACCTACTTTTATTTTACTTTTGAGAAAGAGAGAGAGCACGCGCGTGAGAGAGCGCTCACGAGTAGGGGAGAGGGGCAGAGGGAGAGAGAATTTTGTTTTGTTTTTGAGAGAGAAAGAGCTTGTGTGCATGCAGGGGAGGTGGGGAGAGAGAGAGAGGGAGAAAGAGAAAATCCCAAGCAGGGTTCTAAGGTTCTTGTATTTGGGAAAGAAGTTAAAAATATGGATAAATTTTAAGTTTGGAGTTAAGTATGGTAAGTTAAGTATGCCTGATGAAATTGAAAAAATAATTGCTTGAAAAAAAGGAAAAAGAGGGGCACCGTGGTGGCTCTGTTGGTTTAGCATCCAGCTCTTGATTTCAGCTCAGGTCATGATCTCATAGTTCATGAGATCAAGCCCCACATCAGACTCTGTGCTGACAGCATGGAGCCTGCTTGGGATTCTCTCTCTCCCTCTCTCTATGCCTCTTCCCCACACTCTCTGTCTCAAAATAAACTTAAAAAAAAAAAAAAAAGGAATTGCTGAAACAGTATACATAGTTTGTACATTCCAAACCAGTGGGAAAAAATTGAGTAAGAAAAAGGTAAAAATCCAAACAACATGTAAAATTCAGCTCCAACCATCCAACAAAAATATAATTCAGGGGCTGCCTGGCTGGCTCAGTTGGTGGAGTATGTGACTCTTAATCTTGGGGTTGTGGGTTCAAGCCCAGCGTTGGGTGCAGAGATTACTTAAAAATAAAATCTTTGAGGGGCACCTGGGTGGCTCAGTCGGTTAAGCGGCCGACTTTGGCTCAGGTCATGATCTCGCGGTCCGTGAGTTCGAGCCCCGCGTCGGGCTCTGTGCTGACAGCTCAGAGCGTGGAACCTGTTTCGGATTCTGTGTCTCCCTCTCTCTGACCCTCCCCCGTTCATGCTCTGTCTCTCCCTCTCTCAAAAATAAATAAACGTTAAAAAAAAAACTTTGAAAATGTATATATTTCAGAAAAGGAAAAAAACTTTGTCAGTTATACTTCAGTAAATCTGGAAAACAAAAATTGAGGGAAAGAAGCTTAAAAAAGGGAAGACAGACACAAATAAGTTGAGGAATACAAGTGATCACAATAAATGTGAATGGACAAAACTTTCCTGCTGAAAGATAGGAAATGTGAGATTGAATGTAAATGAAAGGCAGTGGTACAGCTGTAAGAATAAACCATAAAGCAAGCCTCACTCTACACTCCCACAGTATTGCTGGATATACATCAAACCAAAAAGAATTGGACATCTGTGGGGGCACCCAGCTAGCTCAGTCAGTGTAGCATGCAACTCTTGATCTCAGGGTCACGAGTTTGAGTCCCACCGTTGGACTGAGACATTACTTAAATACATCTTTAGGGGCGCCTGGGTGGCGCAGTCGGTTAAGCGTCCGACTTCAGCCAGGTCATGATCTCGCGGTCCGTGAGTTCGAGCCCCGCGTCGGGCTTGGGCTGATGGCTTAGAGCCTGGAGCCTGTTTCCGATTCTGTGTCTCCCTCTCTCTCTGCCCCTCCCCCGTTCATGCTCTGTCTCTCTCTGTCCCAAAAATAATAAATAAATTAAAAAAAATAAATAAATACATCTTTAAAAAAAGTTATAACAAAAAGATTAAAAAAATTGTATACCAGTAAAATGGCTAAAATAACACTCTGAAATGCTGGCAAGGATGAGAAGAAACTGGATCACTCATACATTGCTAGTGGGGATGTAAAATGATAATAGCTTCTTTAAAAGTTAAATGTACAGGGGTGCCTTAGGTGGCTCAGTCGGTTGAGCGTCTGACTCTTGGTTTCAGCTCAGGTCATGATCTCACAATTCGGGAGACCGAGCCCTGCGTCGGGCTCCGTACTGGCAGGGTGGAGCCTGCTTGGGATTCTCTCTCCCTCACTCTCTGCCTCTCCCCCACTCTTTCTCTCAAAATAGGTAAATAAACTTAAAAAGATTAATAATAAAAATTAAACATACAACTCTGCAGTCACGCTCTTGGGCATCTATCCCAGAGACGTGAAAACTTACCTTCCCGCAAAAACCTGTACACAAATGTACATGGTAGCAGTCACTCCTAAATGTCCTTTATGGTGTGAATGGTTGAACAGAGATAGGTATACCATGGAATACGACTTGGCAGTAAAAAGGAAAGCAGTAATGATATTCGTTACATCCAGGATGATCTTCGGGGAATTATGTTGAATGAAAAAGCCAGTTATCCTGTATAGCCCCCACTTACATAACATTTTTGAAATGACAGAATATTAGAAATAGAGGACACGTTAGTGGTTGCCAGGGGTGCTGAAGGGGGTGGCATCACAAGGGATCCCTGTGGTGTTGGAACTGTTCAGTATCTTGACTTCGATGGTGACTGACTCTATCCTGGTGAGGAAATTGTGTAGAATTTAATGTACACACCCACACAAATGAAAATGCATCCTGATTGTGTTCTGTTATAATTTTCCAAAATGGTACCATCAGGGAAACTGGGCAAAGCATACAAAGGGTCTCTCTGGATTATTTCTATTTATTTATTTTTTAAATAACAACTTCATTGGGGTGCCTGGGTGGCTCAGTCGGTTAAGCATCCAACTTCGGCTTGGGTCATGAACTCACCTTTTGTAGTTCAAGCCCTGCATCGGGCTCTCTGCTTTTAGTGCAGAGCCTGCGTCAGATCCTCTGTCTCCTTCTTTCTGCCACTACCCCACCTGCACTGCACTGTCTCTCAAAAATAAACATTAAAAAAAAAAAAAAGAAAACTTCATTGATATATAATTCACATATTTATGGTTCACCCATCTAAAGTGCAATATTCAGTGATCTTTAAGTATATTCACAGAGTTGTGCAACCATCACCACAGTCCATTTTAGAACATTTTCATCTCCCTAAAAGAAACTGCACCACAGAAAATCTTGTAGATGTTTGTTCATATCAGCATGACTCATAACCACCAAAAGGCAGAAGCAATGCCTATCAGCTGGTGGATAAACAACATGTAGGAAATCCATACCATGGAATACTATTTGGCAATAAAAAGAAATGAAACACTCATGCAACATGGGTGAACCTTGTAAATATTACCCTCAACAAAAGAATCCAGTCACAAAAGATCACATACTGTGAGATTCCATTGATAAGAAATGTCCAGAATAGGCACCTCCATAGAGACAGAAAGTAGCTCAGTGGTTGCCAGAGGCTGGGCTTGTTGGCCCTTTTCTTTCCTCTATTATTGTACAGAAATTTCCTAAGAAGGTCCGTAATCAACACAAATGCTGCCCGTCACATCTGTCTGTCTTTCCCAAATGGAGTGTTCAGCTCCAGCGGCTGTGGGCGCAGCGGGCCGTCTCCCCGCCCTCCCTGTCCGCAGAGCTGTGATAACAGCGGCCTCTGCCCTGGCCTCCCCCGCCCTGGCCTCCCCCGCGTGCCGCGCCTGATTCACCACTCTGCCTCCAGCCCAGCTGCAGCTCCAGCAGGTGGCGCTGCAGCAGCAGCAGCAGCAGTTCCAGCAGCAGCAGGTGGCGCTGCAGCAGCAGCAGCAACAGCAGCAGCAGCAGCAACAGCAACAGCAGCAGTTCCAGGCCCAGCAGAATGCCATGCAGCAGCAGTTCCAGGCGGTGGTACAGCAGCAGCAGCAGCAGCTCCAGCAGCAGCAGCAGCAACACCTGATTAAACTGCATCATCAAAACCAGCAGCAGGTACTAGGTGCCCGTTCTCAGCCTCTTCCCGTGGTCCTTGAGCCCTGGATGTGTGCCAGCCACAGTGCTGGGTGCGGGGGCCCAGAGGCAGCTGCAGATCCTTCTGATGCCTGGTGCCTGGGCTTCCTCCTCTGTCTGGGGGCTCCCCGCAGGGCCTGGAGCAGGGAGGAGGGATAGGCCCCAACTTGTTAGGAGGGTGCCGGGATCGCACAAGGAGGTCCTCTCTGTTGGGCTTGGCGTCTGGCCGCGGGCCTACTGCGTGCCGGGGGTGGAGGGCTAGATCTGTGGAGGCTTCTGGGTGCAAGCGATTCATGTAAGAGTTAACTGAAGCAAGAAGTGAGAAGAACACTCCACAATGCAGGAATGCCTGAGCTGTCCTGTGAGCGTGTTTCTTTTGAGTACTTGCATGCCTCCTGTTTTGTCTCTTGAGTGTTTTGGTGCCTGGACGCAGCTCTAATCAAGCTTCATTTCTCTGCGGGGGGGGGGGTGGCAGTGTCACATTAGAAGCCCTGCTTATAAAGAAACTGTTTTTTTCCTCCCGTTGTTGGCAGGCAGCATCTAGACGTATTAAGCATCTAACGTCAGGTCTGCTCTTGGTTGAGGGAGGGAAGGCCTGAGCGGATCTCTCCACTTTCCCACCCTCCCCAGGCCTTGGCTTGCTGCCTCCATTTCCCAGTGGCCACCCTCCTGGGTCTTGGAGGCCCCCTTCCCCGGAGCCAACTTTTCCCTCAGCCTCACTTTTTCTCCTCATCCTGAAAAGCATACACTGGCCATCTTCCCAAGGCTTGTACAGTTTCCCACTCTAGTGACCAGACAAGCATCACTGGAGAGGCCTCAGGGATTTGCAGCCACCCGAGCATTTATCCCAGCGTCGATGGGGCCACACCTCTGTTACCCTTCCTAAACCCTCTGGATACTTCCCTTGAACCTTCGTTCTCTTAGGCTCAGGTGCAGCTGGTGTCTGGTGACCAGGGCACAGGCACACACTTGGGTGTGTCCTCGGTGTCCTGTGAGAGCAGCCCAGGCAGGCTTCCTGGGGGCAAGGCTGACACAGGGCCCAGAGGCAGATGGGATAACCGACCGAGTACTGCTTATTCTGCCCATAGATACAGCAGCAGCAGCAGCTACAGCGGATGGCACAGCTGCAGCTGCAGCAGCAACAGCAGCAGCAGCAGCAAGCTTTGCAGGCCCAGCCGCCACTACAGCAGCCACCGATGCAGCAGCCCCAGCCTCCCCCTTCCCAGACCCTGCCCCAGCAGCTGCAGCCGATGCACCACCCACAGCACCACCAGCCGCCACAGCCCCAGCAGCCACCAGTTGCTCAGAACCAGCCATCGCAGCTCCAGGCGCAGTCACAGACCCAGCCTTTGGTGTCACAGGCTCCGGCCCTCCCTGGACAGATGCTGTATGCCCAGCCACAGCTGAAACTTGTGAGTACCCGTGGCCTTTGGTGGGCGTGTGGCCGGCAGCTGTTTCTGGGGCTTCTTTGGACATAGGTGGGGAAGGCCCCATGCTGGCTCCCGCATCCAGCTTGGCAAGGGGGGAGTGCATTCCAAGAGCTGCTGTACCCTGCACGGAGGCACTGCCTCTGCTGGGCGAGAGTTTTCTTCCAAGTAGCATGGCTGATTTCACAGTGGCCATGGCATTCTAAGACTGGGTGATCAGGTGGACAGCAGCACGCATATTCTCACTGTGCGAGAGGGTGTGCGGCCTCATTGAGCATTCACTGTGGGTTTGCTAACTGCTTAGAATTACGTTTTGAGCGAAGATCCCTGTCATTACCAGATTTTTGAGGAAGGGGATTAATAGGAAATCATGTAATTGTCAGTCTTATTGTGCATCTCTGTACAAAGCATATCTAGTTGGTGACATTGACATGGAGGACACAGTATTATCATCAAGTCAGGCGGAGCTGTGTCAAGGGGCCATTTTAATAGTTGTTTTTTTTTTTGCTTACTCGTTTTCATGGCTTTTTCTGTTTTTCACTTATTGAGTGGAAAGGGATGGGCCATGTTGAACTGAGTGGCGGGCAGATAGGAGACCCACAGGGCCAAGCTGGAAGCTGGGGAGGATCTTGAGGAACAAAGTATGGTCACACTTGTCACCTGGGGACTAGCCCCTAGTTTCATAGGTGGGGCTCTTGTAGACCATCAGCATGCTTGGCCCAGAAGTCAAGCAGGCTGGGCTGTGCACTTGGCCTTGGGAGTCATCGCTTTGCTTGCAGCAGTAAATGGTAGTGGTGGCTGTATGGTGACATCCCAGTCGGAGGGCCATGCTTCTCATCATAGTCAGAGGAGGTGGGGCTTGGCTCAGAGCCAGACTGGTGTGGGACATTTCTAATCAGCTATGGGATAAGGTAAAGCCAGTGAGGTGATACCACAGCCAGTGAAGTCGTGACAATCCCATCCCTTCTCATGATAAGCTGCAAGATTCAAAGCTCCCACCAACGTGGTAGGTGTTCCACCACGTGCCCCGGATGGCTCCAAATCGCATTCTCCCTTCCTCCCTCAGGTCCGCGCTCCAATGGTGGTGCAGCAGCCGCAGGTGCAACAGGTGCAGCAGGTGCAGCCCCAGGTGCAGCAGCAGACAGCGGTGCCAACAGCTCAGGCTTCCCAGATAGTGGGTTCCGGAGTGCAGGTGAGGGCTTTTGGAACCCAGGTGAGGGCCTTTGGGGCCAGGGGCTTCTGTAGGCACTGGCAGGTGCATGTCCACCTGTGCATGGAGCTGGATTTCAGGCACTCTACAGTGAGGGTCCTGGTTGTTTGGATCATGGGCAGTCTAGGAGCCAGCCCACAGGGTCTTCAAGGTGGGCAGCCTGGCTTGGTGTTACCGGATTCCCCCCACCTCTCTTCAGAAACCCTTCATCTTCCCCCTTCCCTCCTCCTCTGAGAACACACGTTGGAGAGGGTAGCATTGTGGCCTCAACCTCTCCTCAGCTTGGAGTGCAGGGCTGGTGGCAGGTGTGCACTAGCATTCTGGACACGGAAGAGCACAAGTATGGTGGCGCCTGGCTCTAGTGGACTGCGTGGGCTTGTGCTGCAGCCCCTTGCCCAGCACTTTCCCAGTGCTTGCCCCCTGCGCTGAGAAGTGTAGCTGAGGCCCTTTATGCCCACCCTCTGTGTTTTGGATGTTGATGGGATGGAGTAGGCCTTGCCCAGCCTTTCCTGGTAGAGGCCAGATTCTTAATGGTGTTTGGGGTTGGAGATTGGGCCTCATGATTTTCCACAGATCCCCCATCCTGCTGGTGCCAGGGAGAAGAGGCATCTAGTCTGGGGCTTTGGTTCTGTCTCCACCTGGCAGTGGGAACACTGGCTCAGAAGAGAGTATTGGCTTTAGATAGAACAGACCTGCTAGGTGAAGTGCCACCTGCCCGGGTGCTGCCCTGAGCTGGGGTGCCACGCCGCTGCCCCTGCTGTGCTCCTATCCTGCTTATTACCAGCAAGTCAGCCAAGCTCCCTGTCAGGTGCACAGCACCACATGTTGAACACTTCTTGGATGCTGCGTGTTCTGTCAGTGTCTGATGACATCTCACTGTGAGGGAGGCTCAAACTGGGTCCTGTCTGGTCTCAGCCATGTTGCTCCAGTCCATGGGAAGCTGCCTGAGAAGTGTGCGAGTGGAGGGACCTGAGGTGTTTGCACGGAGCTAAGACCTAAAGCAGATGTGTTCTCTGCACTCAATACCCTGCACTGAGCCCGTGGATAGGGCTGTTCTTCTGCTGGTTACTCTCCTCTCTGCTTCTGCTTGGGGGGGACCCAGCCCAGCCAGCATGGGAGCTTGACTGTGGGCTCAGTCACCCATAGAGTAACCTTGATACTTAACTTTCTTTCCCCCTCATTGGAGTGCAGAGGGCTGCTAAGGCACAACTAAAGTAGGCCCAGGACTCTTCTTTTTCAGTGGGGACACTGGGAAGATTGTGACACTGATAGCTGGGGAGGAGGAAGGGGTCATTGCTTGAGTGTTTATGGGTGGGTTTGCTTTTTTGAGGCACGTGCCTTCAAATTTATCAGGAGTGGTGTCCACCTCCCTCCCACGCATCACAGATCAGATCTTCCCCACTTGCTCTCTCTCTCTCTCTCTCTCTCTCTCAAAAAAAAAAAAAATCCTCAGTTAATGTTATTTTATGCTGTGTGATGTATATGCGTACATACATACATGAATGCTTATTATAAACATATCCTGCTGTCCTTAATTGTCATCTTGTGTTTGGACCTTGAGATTATTTCCAGTTTTTTGCTGTTACTGATAATGTGTGTCCTGATGTGTGGTTCTGTGAAAGAAGTGCTGGCTTTGGGAGCCTGAGCACACAGTCCTCCATTCCTGTCTCTCAAGTCCGCCCTCTCAGAGCAGAAAAGAGATGTCCTGTGGCGCTCGCCAGTGCTGTGGCCCTGATGGATGGCTGAGACTCTTTACTTGGGGCGAAGTGTGGTAGTTGGTGTTTCAGGAAAATTGGTAAGCCCTGAGCCTTATACATCAGGTTCGGTTTTTTCTGACATTACTTGTGTAAATGAAAGGTGATGTCATTGTCACCCATAGTGGGATTTATTAACTTCCCTTTCTCCCCTAACCTTTTTCTGTGACTGTACATAAATCCAGAACAGAATGTGTCTCCCACTTCTAAAAATCCCTAGGCTTTTGTCTTTTAACCTTGTGTTTTTATTTTATTTATTTTTTTAATGTTTTTATTTACTTTTTAATTTTTATTTTTTTCAGATTTTTTTAAATGTTAATTTATTTTTGAGAGAGAGAGAGAGAGAGAGAGACAGCACACGAGCAGGGGAGGGGCAAAGAAAGAGGGAGACACAGAATCCGAAGCAGGCCCCAGGCTCTGAACTGTCAGCCCAGAGCCCGAGGCGAATCTTGAACTCAGGAACCACGAGATCATGACCTGAACCAAAGTCGGAAGCTTAACTGACTGAGCCACCCAGGCACCCCAGTATACAGAAATTTAACTACAGTCTCAGGTTGCAAAGAATTGTCCTCAAAGGCACACTTCCTGGATGTGCGTGCATGTAACCCTGCTGCTGTACGATGATCTCACACTGAGCCTTATTGAACTGCTTGGACCTGTCTCCTCTTTCCAGGCCCTACTGCCCAGTGACCCTGGAGGGGAGCAGGCCTAAGTTTGCGTGGAGTTTGAATTCCTTTCTGGGTAGATATGTGTCAGGAGATAATGAACGTACTTGCTCACAGGAATGGGAGGAGTTGCTGGTAAACACTTCCAGTGTGTTTTCCACTGGGATTTGTGGTTAAAAGAAAACGAACTTTCCCTCTCAGGAGTTCTCAGTCACAAGAAAAACAGTAGCAGATTAGATTTAAGCTTTTCATTCCTTATCACTTGTTTCTTCCTCAAAAAAAGTTTCCACCTCTCTCGTACCACCGGACTTCTCAAGGCCTTTCTTCCTCTTCCCTCACCCTGTGAGTGCACGCACACCCTGCCAGTGTCCCACTTTGTGTCTGATGGACTGGTGGGCTCTTTGGGACTCTGTCCAAGTTTTGGCAGACTCTGGGAGAGTGGCTTCCTGGCCTCCTACCCTGGTGAGTTCTTTGTCATATGGCTGTAGGAGCATCTGCCCCCTAGCCCAGCAGGTTCGTATCTGCCACTGCTTGGGTCATGCCTGCTGCATGGTGACCAGTGGGTGTGAGTGTGGGACACACATGTGATGCCAGAGGCGTCTTGGAAAAGTAGACCTTCCTCCAGCTTCAGAGCCCCGTCCCTGGCATACCTGTCGTAGGGATTGAGTGGCTGGCCATCCATGCTGCCCTGATCTCAGGGACCAGCTCACAAGCCTGCAGAAGAGGTTTTGGTTGTTCATGGATCAGTTCTGCTACCTTTCTGAATGTGGTCGTGCTGTTTTAGTTTGGTTTCATCTTAACACTTGTGAGTGCATACAGGCTCTGCTCTCCAGGGACCAAGAGCGAGGGTGGCCAGGACTCAGGAGAGCACCGGGTTCCCATCGGCACAAGCCGGGCCCAGACCCACAGCAGTTCTCAGCCTGCCTTCTTTATGCTTCCAGAAGTATATGTGAATGAGGAGAGCAGTCCCAGAGCATGCTGGAAGCTCTAGAGTCTGCAGTCATCTTGTATGTTTAGGACAGACCTGACCTGCATCACTGTAGAGGTGTATCCGAGAGTTGTGGAGTGCCAGGCTTCCCTTGCCCACCTCACTGTGAGTGTAGTTACAGAAGGAAACCAGTTCCCAGAAGCTGCCCAGAGGCTTGAGGAGAGGAGGGTGATTTGCGCTTAGGCCTTCAGAGGCATTGTGATCAGGCAACATGCTCCTAAGAAGGAAAGGTGCTGTGAGCTGGCTTATATGGACTCTTCTGTTTTAATGACAGTTGACTTCTCCTCATAGCAATTTTGGTGGAGTGTCCCCTTCAAAGTCTGTCCCTGAAACCTGGTCTCCCAGAACCACCACCCTGTCCAAGAGGTCTGGCCTTGAGGGCTCTGCAGGCCCGTCAGCAGATCAAAAGTTGTTGAAGGAGTATGGCCAACAAGACAGAGAGGTGTGGAGGCAGCATTCATGGAGGTTGCCTGGATTCGCGATGCCAACACAGGCCTCCATGCTGTGAGCTTGAACACGTAGGCCAGGCTGCCCTCAACCCCCACAGCCCAGTGGGCACTCCTGTCTCAGGCTGCACGCCCCTTTCCACCCACCCATGCACTGCGTTTGTTGCAATCACCTTGTCTGTTATCCCTCTGACCTCAAGATGATCACTGCAGCCTTGGCCCAAGGTGTGAGGGAAGTAAGAGCCCAGTTCCCGTTCACCACCACCACCTCAGCTGCCGTCCATTCAAGTTCTACCGCTTTGGGTGGACAGCCCTCTCAGCACAGGTATTTATGGGGCAGTGCCCAGGGCCCCTGGAAAGCTCAGGGCCCTGTGAGTACCTTTGTGAGGCACATTGTAATCGTCAGTGACTTCCTCTGCTGTGGTCCTGGAAGTGCCTAACCAAGCTCACATGAACCAAGCCCAGCTTCTGTTTCTTGAGGGCATAGGAGTAAACACCTGTGTTTATTTGCATTTCAATACTTTGGGTAGCTCTGGTATTTTCATTTGGTGGAGAAGATGGGAGCTAATTTTCTTATGTTAAAGTTTAAGGTTTTAGGGGTGCCCTGCTGGCTCAGTCAGTGGAGCATGTGACTCTTGATCTCAGGATCGTGAATTCGAGCCCCACATTGGGGATAGAGTTTACTTAACAAAAAAGAAATGAAGAAATTTAGTGTTTTAGATAGTTATGGTAGTGCCTCTTTTTGTGGTAACATAAAACTGAAGCTAAGCAGATAGTTTTGCTTTCTTGAGCTGTGCGGATAGTCACCAGCCGTATGTACGTATTTACATTTAAACTAATAAAAATTACATTAAAGTAAAACTTTACATTTACATAAGTAAATGTACATAAAGTAAAAATTTACATAAAGTAAAAATTACATTAAAGTAAAACTCCAGTTCCTTAAGTTGAAATTCAGTTACATATCAAGTGCCTGGTGGCACCATGGGGAAGCCGGTGGCTATTATACTGGACAGCACAGATTGTAGATCAAGTCAAGCTGTGGAAAGTTCTGTAGGACTGTGCTGTTCTAGAATTTCCTGTGTGGAGTGTAGAATTTACTACACACATTCCTTTCTAGGTATATAAA